GTTATCGTGTGCATGATAAATTACCTGTAGCCATCAAACACATCAAAAAAAGCATTGAAATTTTAAAACATGTGGATGAGAATGGAAAGCAGATGCCCTCTGAGGTGGCTATCATGTTAAAACTGAGGGATAAAACAACCAGTTCAGTTGGGCAGTCAGCTATCGTGTCCCTGCTAGACTGGTATGATCTGAATAAGGAATTGATTTTGGTTTTGGAGAGACCCATGCCTGCTGAGGACCTCTTTGACTACATTCGAAAACACAAGGGTCACATAACGATGAAGAATGCCAAAATCATCATAAAACAGCTGCTAAAAGCAGTAATTCACCTTCAGGAGGCAAACATCTTCCACAGAGACATTAAAGCTGAGAACATCCTGATAGAGACCGGGTCAAAAGTCCCAAAAATTTATCTTATAGACTTTGGTGTAAGTTGCTTTGATGACCTAAAAAACTATAAGCATTTCCATGGTACTTGGGTACATGTCCCACCAGAATTCGACAGACAAGGGTTTCACAGTTCTGGACCAACAAATGTGTGGCAGGTGGGCTTAGTCCTGTATTACATTCTGCACAAAAAACAGTTCTTTACCCGTGGATTCCTGTCAAAAAGACTAAAGATCAACACAAGGCTCTCCGAGAAATGCAAAGATTTTCTAACAAAGTGCCTGACAGTAGACCCAGAAAAACGTCCCACCCTAGAAGAGCTGTTACACCACCGGTGGTTGTTGAAAGAAGATACTCAAATATAACCAGAAAACAGCAGCATACTTCATAAGAAAAGTTTAACAATGCAGGAATTTCGTAATAATTAGAGGGTTGATTTTTCCAGCTGTTCTGATTTCCCTCTTTGTCCAGGAACTTAATTCAGTTTGATATTCCTGCCTTTTATCCAGGTGCACTGGTTTCCCCCTTATTTCAGAAACATCCTTTAGTGTAAGTGCAGTTTTTTAGGTTTTCTCTGGGTGCTCCAGTTTCCCCGTATAAAAAAAAACAAAAAATCATCCCTTTTAATTTAATTTAGTTTAATTTGAACTTTGTGTATTTCCATTTGGTTCTCTGGTTTCCCAATGTAATCCAGAAAATGTCTCTAACTTTTTTCTTATGCAAATTTTATTGAGTTTTTTGTTTTGTAAAACATACAACAGATATGTTATGCCACACCGACCTTTACAAGCTTACTTTACCGTTAGCCAGTTGAGAAAGGCAGACCACGTACTATCATACTGATCCATTTTATCTAGAAGACTACAGTATGGGCCGGATCTATCAAAGGTTTGCGTGTATAAAAACGTGAGCTATTTCACTGCGCA